CGATTCGATTTGAAAAAATCAAATCAAATTCAAATTGCTTAAATATTTGATTTGATTCGATTTTGAGGAACCCTAACTGCAACCTTGCTTTATTATAATATTTACGCAATAATGCATACATATACTTTAAGTGATTTTATTTATACCTTCCAACCTTTCTTTTTTACTTTCTCATAAATAAGTTCTCTTCGTGATTACATTCATTAAATTTTAATTCTCTTTGTATTTTCATGATCGGTTTCAGAATAGTTATTATCAGTTGCCAAATTTCGCTTAACCAATAGCGAGCTTGCATTATGAAAATCATCATAATGTTCGTTTAGTCAATTATAACCGCTAATAATCACAGAATCCTAAAATATTTATAAGGAATTAGATCATACACAACCGCGAACTGACAAAGAAAAGAAAGAAATTTAACCTTTGCTATTTCGATCTTTTCCTTCAGCATAATACGCCTGGTTGATTTTTTAGCAAGCTTATTGTAACTAATCCTCCTTACTTTTCGCAGGTTCTGTTGAGACTAAGAAAGTAACATAATTTAATTAATAATGAGAAAGAAAAACATATATACAAAATGGTTCATAAAGTTCGTCCAATATGAAACTATTTAGAAATACGTAGAACACCATGTCTAACAAGAATTCATCTTGTGTGAGAATACACATTTTGCATTTCTCCTCTAAATGTTTCAAATCCAAGAAATCCTCCAGAAATAGTAACCAATCATAAATCTGAAATATGTAACACATCACATCTAACAGGTATACAGCCTGTGTAGATAACTTGTTCTCAGACCTGCTTCACTTTTATAGATGATATTAAATAGATAGATTACCTTTAGTTGCCCCTCCAGTCAGTGTTGTTATGGAACATAGTTAGGACACTGATAGGACACTGATGGGACATTGATGGGACATTGATGGAACAGATGGGACATAGTTGGAACATATAGTTAGGACATATAGCTGGGACAGCAAATACTTGGGACATAGAAAATAGACATCACTGCCTCCAGTTGTGCAAGTCGTAGCTGAGCGGGATGATCCTCTACAAACAACTTTCATAAAATCTTTCTCATTTTTAAATGGATTATGTATATGATTTTTTTTGACATCACTTAGGCATTCAGAAAACTCGTTAAGGCTTGGCCATTTAGTATAGTGACAATTCCAAAGTTCTGCCAGAATGTGAAGAGTGAATATATACATTTCATAATCTTACTAATAAATAACATATTTGTAAATTCTTACCGTAATAACGGAGGAGCCCTGATGCAGTTTCAGGTAAATAAGTGTTATTTTCATTATTGTCACTACAATACTCAACCTTTTCTATTGATGATCCTTTTAATTTTAAATTTGGATGCAATGATTGAGCGATTGTTTGGCTCTCCACGTAGGGTGTTTATGATTTTCTAGTAGTGTATCCAGGATTTTTTCAGTTGAAATTGATTTATGAAGTATTCAACAACTACTCCAGTGATTGGTGACTCATCTTAAGGTAATAACGCTAATGATAGAGATGGTAAGACAGGTTAAGACAATAACAGTAAAAGCTTGGAAGATTAGAACGCAGTCGTATAGTTACCCTGCTTTTCACCATTAAGTTTCACAATCAAATCCAAGAGTTTTACAACTGATCCTACTTTAAACCCATAATCTTTAAGCTTTTTCTCGTTTAACAAAAGAAATGCAGGTCTGTCTATCTCCTCTTCGAGCAAAATTCTGAGGTGTGTGTCATTAAGTTGTAAACTGATCATAGGATCGGTTTTGGTCCAGTTTGAGGGTAGACTGGACTGAGATCAGAATGGTTTAATTAGATTATCCAATGATTATCCACGCGTTTTTACGCGTCTAACTTGAATAATATTTTTTTAAATTTACATTCATTTGAGCAACTATGTCTGGCGTAATTTCATTTGAAAATGATCAAAATGACGACAATAATTCAGATGTTACCTCCGATTCTTTGGCAACTGAAGAGGAAACTCCCACAAATATAAAAGCTCACAATTCAGATGTGTGGGA